GGAAGTCTCGTGGCCTGCGTAAACCTGAACTTCACATCAAGGCCAAACAGCTACAGTACAAAGGGGCTCAGTTGTTCTTCTTTGGTGAGATCAATTTATGAATTTATTTTTTATGTCTTTTCATACGAAATAAAAGTCACCCAAACAATAGAATCAACCAAAATTTAATTAATTAATTACTTAACTAAAAGCTGTTTTAGTTCTATGCTATGCATTGGTTATTTTTATTTTATTTTATCTTTTTTTGAAAAAAACTCAGCACTACTACGTATACTAACAGTTCAGATACTTTTATTCGCAGAAAATTACATTTCTTTAGAACAAATTTTGTTCTCAACATTAAAACAAAATAAAATAGAAATAACTAAGGGCTTGTATGGAAGCTAAGCAGTTTCTTCTTAACAAAACACAATGATAGTATCACTGTGTCTAGTCTAGGGCTAATATAATGCAAGAAAAACGCGGGGCTTTCCAAGCATTCAAATAATTTATTAGTTGAAAAATCATTTGGTTATGTAATAAATTTAATGTCCAAATTTTCCTCCAAAGCTTGCCAGAGTACTTTGACGCAAACAGCGGGAATGCTTGAGACGTTTGGATTCCCTAACAGGATGAGTATGGAAGAAATATGCCATTGGAAACTCGTCTCTCTTCGAGGAAATTCACTTTTATTCATCATATCCCACTTCGATTTACCACCCAGCGATGATCTTGGAAACTGTTCCAGCTATCTTGAGGTAGAACTGATTTGTTTCCATTAGTCGAATATCGTATTTGAATGAATCTTTGCTATCATTATCATTCTTACATCCAGCTATCTCAGCGCAGGAGTTAAACCATTTACAATTAACGGTCATATCCTTAGATATAAATAGAAATTTCAAGGTTGGCTCACATTACACTTCATTTTAAGAGGCGAATGCAAGACATTCGCAAATTAGCCCTCTGGAATCCGACATAGCTTTGGGCTGGAATTGTGAAAATCATAGCGCACCGTTCCTTGACCACAATCGGTCAGTGCTGTGTTTTCGTTCGTCATATGACAGGCAATGTGAAATAACCCACTTCAGCTTATTCACGAATACCTTTCATTCGTCTCATCTAAATTAATGAAATTTACGCTAACATCAATATTGTAAGAGATTCTTCGGAAACCAGATTCTTATTAAATATTTGAAAGTTTATTCTGAAAGATTGATTTCATTATCCTTTGGCCAGATTACTGAAGCCGATGGCACAACTATTCTGCAAAAGTCATGCGGCTCAGCAGCACTTGGTCGGCAAATTATGATTCACAATCATACTGAAGTGATGATTACTCTTGTCATTCAAGAAACTAATAACAACACACTGGCCAATTTTATCGGGATGAGGATAGAGTACCAAATTGTCGGTAAGCTGGATTTTATCCATCTCCTGCATTTATTCGTTGTGCCCGAAAAAGATTGTTTTACTGGGTGGTTATATAGAAATATTTTTTTAGTAATCTGTCCCGATTATTCAAATATTTACTTAATCTCACTAATTAATTTTGATCCCTTATTCACTTCCTTCAACTCTGCATGTAGTTAGCTGAAAAAATATCTCTTCTTTGATAGTGTCCGAGAATAAACCATATATAATATAAGTATTTTTTGCACTAAGTTCTATTTTATCTGACGACATTTGGCAATTGGATATTGTAATTTTATTGGAAGTAAGGATAAAGCGTGTTATATTAAACATTACTTTTCATACATACTTGACGAACTAATGCATGGCCTAACTGTATACTTGATAGTTCGGAATACGAAAGGTCTCACACAGGCCCTACTTAAAATTGAACAATAAATTTGTCTAATAAAGACCAACGAACTCGTTTAACCTGACTTAGGCCAGCCAATGAGCTCTTATTAGGTCCTCAGTAATCCAGCTTTTTCGTTCGCACTTCTCAACAAGGTTGTGTTTATTCGGCAAAGGAAATGGGTGACAACCCGACAAACGAGGGTTTCTTCCAAACCCCCCACTACCCGCAACTTAGTAGACTCTCTCAAGACTGTCTTTGGAGGCTTCAAGCATTGCCGGATCATGCCATTGAGCTGAACATCGATGCGATCGACTTGGCCTCGGCAGAAGGCCAGCCAGACACTGGATTGGCCGCCTTCGAGTCGGTGACATACGATCAACATGAATTCGCGGCATACTTACCGAGGTTTGGTGCTCGGGGAAAGTCGGCCAAGCCGGGTGAAAAGGCGCCTAAAGGAGAGGAGTTGTGGTTCTTGAATCGTACAATCCGTGCTGGTCAGGATGAACCCGTGCAATTCACTTCGTCTGGATCATATCTACTCCTTTATTGGACAGCAAGCAAAACAATATTGAGCCATGGACTACATTTTACATATAAATTCATCAATGCAAGTAAGCAAAATTGGCCCAGCAGCCAGATCTATTACTTTTTCCTAAAATAGCCCGATAATTAAAATCAAAGTGACCGTAAAATACACCAAAAATTACACTGAATAAAAAAATGAAATAATTGGCAAGGTAAGCTGGAGGAAGTCATCAGACATAGACTAGTCAGTCAGTATCTTTACCACCTAAACAATCCGTATGCAAGATTTTCCCAAAATTTTGGAGCAATGAGCCAAATAAAAATCAAAATAAAGCTATAAATCAAAAATATATTTTGGGCGAATTATATACTTTTCCTTTATATTTTAGTGTTTAGTGATTCCCATTGAGATGCATAAAAATGGAGCTCTTCTAGTCCTAACAATAAAATGTCTGTCTGTACTAGTTTTAGGCTCAATAGCATTTGCAAGTTTGTCTTTTTAGCAACCACGTGAAAATCATATTCGCCCCGTATCAAACTGAGACTCAAGCATTTAAGATACGAAGAGAAACTGGGTTTGGATAAATCTCCTATGATAACCTTGTTGGGGGGACTTTTATACGAAATGAAAGTCCCCCCAGCAATCAAATATTTTAGTCGAAAACTAAGGATTCTCGAAGCTCAGCTTCGACTCCAACTTTGTGATCGCATAGATACAGAGTAAATGAGGCTTGCATACATGGAAACATTCTGGTCGAAGCCAACTACTCAATAAATATGAGCCAACTTACTTCGTGTCTTTTCGAAAATTTATCCTATCCTAGATTTGGTTTGTTATTTATAATCTGCGGATAGTTTTGAAGCCTTCTAATTTGTTAATTAATCGAGATGCTTATAGTACAATGGCAAAATGACTTTAGATTGAGGCACCTTTACCAAAATTTTCTTATACCCAATCTCTTAGGGCTCGAAAGCAGGAATCAGTTTTCTACCTGAAGTCATCTATTTCATAATGTAATGGTTTACGTATACGTCCTTCTACACTAAAGAGAGAGTTAATTTCGCAGCTGCATTCGAGTTATTCAGCAATCCCTACTGTTCTTCGTCCTAACCAGTTTTATATTCGTAATTGAGTAGGGTTTCGAGACTACCAGTAAATCATTGCAATGAGATGTATTCACCCTATT